CGAGTGACGCGATGCGCATATTCGCTTCGCGTCTTGTGTAAACACAGCATTAATCATCAGGCGTTAAAACATCGGCGATAATCGCGCGCGATATTCGTCCCGGTGTGAACAAGCCTTATGGCTGTATGATGTGGTTAAAAAAAATCTAATTACGATTTTTCTGACAATAAAGGAATAAAAAAATCAGGTTTGCTGTGCTTCTTTGTAGGGCTGTATAGTTATATCAATATGGCTAATACTACTACTGCTGCTACTCTTACTACTACTAATAATAATAATGACTATTATTATTATTATTACTACTAAATAAATAAAACAAAATTACTAGATAAAAACAAAACAGGAAATATTACTATTGCAATATCACTGTAAATAAAAAAAAATAGTATTTAAGAAAATTAATATAAAAATAATATTTATATTTTATATCAACTGTAAAATTGCTCATTTAGGACGTCTTCATTTTTAAAAATGAAACCATTGAAATTTCATCTTGACAGAAAACCGCAGGGAGCCCTTAAAGCTTTTCTGTTGTTGATAAGAGCTTTTTATTAAAAGTATAAAAATATGCTGGTATGTTTTGCATTCCCAAATGCACATTAAAGTGACCCAAATTCAGATCAAATGCAGAAATGAGTTTGTGCGGAGCAGCATTTACTGTGAGCCCGAGCTGCTCTGAGACGCTGAAAACACTGGACCATGAGCTGTTCACGTGTAAATGAACACAGTGCCGCACTTTACTCTAAAACATGCAGTGCATATATTTATTTAATTCAATCTCAGCCTTACTTAATGCATGCATTTATACTAGATTAAAAAAATATCAAAACACATGTGAGAATAGACTTCATAAAATCACTAGCTGATTAAAATACATCGAGTAAGAACGATAATGAGAAGTAGTTCAGAGAAAAGATATGCTAAATGACATTTTTAACTGTGACACGTTTGTCCAAATGCATTTTGGGGCCACTGTATTTAATAATACACAGTTGTTATTCTCATAAGTGCATAATACTTGTTTCCTGAGTACCTGAAGCATGAAAAATGCACTTGGATTATTCACCCAGATCTCTCAATCCACACAGACAGTCACATTCACATTCACACACACACACACCCCCCCTAATGAGAAGTAGTTCAGAGAAAAGATATCATGCTAAATGACATTTTTAACTGTGACACGTGTGTCCAAATGCATTTTGGGGCCACTGTATTTAATAATACACAGTTGTTATTCTCATAAGTGCATAATACTTGTTTCCTGAGTACCTGAAGCATGAAAAATGCACTTGGATTATTCACCCAGATCTCTCAATCCACACAGACAGTCACATTCACATTCACACACACACACACCCCCCCGACCCATGTGTCAGTCAAGTGTTCTCAACGCCTTTCTTGTCTCTCTCAGTTAAAAAGAGAGAAAGATGGACAAATACTGTTGCATTTAATTGTCATGGTGAAGAATAAAACATTGCAGGGTTAAAATATTCAGCAACATTTTGTTTCCTAACATAACAGCCTGCATATAATTGTAGATTATAGCAGCCAAGCAGAAACGTATTTATTTTTATAATGCTTTTTAAAACACACATTGTTCCAAAGCAGTTTTACAGGAAACATTAAGAAGATAAAATGAAAAGAGCTTATGTTTGGTGAACTGGAGCTTTAAAGATGATTAGTGGTGCTTGATGGGGCAAAATCACTATTGATATTGCTCATTTTTAGAGTAAGAAACTTGAGCAACCCCCTAACCGTAAGTAACTGGAAGTACTTTGGTGAATAACTGTGCTACAAAAATGAATAATATCTCAAATTGTGTGGTTTGTTGAGGAGAGATGTGCTCAGAGTTATGATTTTGGACAATGAAATAGGCCAAAAATAAATAAACAAATAAATGTAAAAAAAAAAAAAAGTCAAAATTTACATTCAATATCATAGGGATATGATCATGATGTAATATAAATTTACATAAAACATCATAAGGGTGGACTTTTTTTTTTTTTTAGGCGGCAACCATCTAGGAACATCCTAGCAACCACATAAATAAAAAAAAATTCAAAACACCATTGTGGTAGCGAACTTTGTACACTTCTTCGGAAAATGCAAAAATCAAGTTGTTTTTTTAGGTTGTTCAGACACTTTTTACAAAAAAAAATCAAATGTAAGAGGTCAGTAATATATATATATATATATATATATAGAGAGAGAGAGAGAGAGAGAGAGAGAGAGTTTGTTTTACGAAAATAACACTTATTTTATTCAAAAATATTAAGCAGCACAACTGTTTTCAACATCGATTGACTGATTGATTGATTGATTGATTTAATTAAATTTATTAATTTATTTATTTTAGTATCAAATTAGCATATTAGAATGATTTCTGAAGATTCATGTGACACTAAAGACTGAAGTAATGGCTGATGGAAATTCAGCTTTGCATCAAATTGCAATAAATTACATTTTAAAATATATTAAAACAGAAAAGTTTTTTTTTTTTTATTGTAATATTTCACAATATTACTGTTTTTTAAAGCCTTGGTGAGCAGTAGAGAATTCTTAAAAAAAATCTTCTTATAAAACAGTAGTGTACATATTTAGTGAACAATATTTGCTCTTTCGCCATACTAATATAAGGAGTATGTGAACACAGACCCATAATATCATGAGTATGTGAACACAGAACACAGACAGTGTTTAATATGCACATCTGATCATTCATTCATTCATTTGTTGGAAATATTCAACTCAAATTTTAAAATAGTATCTTACTGGAACATGCTGCTTTTATTTGGCATGAGTTTGTGAAACGATCATTAAACGCACTGTGCCAGAATCACTCTGTGGCTCTGTGTTCACTCAAAGAGTCTAATCAGAGAGCAGGGGGGAGGAGGAATATTCCATATGCCAACATGTTTCTACAGAGCAAGTAAAATGCTGTTATCACTCAGTTCTAGATAGTTTAGCTGGAGATAAAAGTTCAGATCAGTCTAAAATGTATCCTGGAGACATGACTGTATGAGTACGTCTGCTGTGCCAAACCCATATAAGGAGCGCATGTGCCCTGTGGAAGACATGAGCAAAAGAAGACACGTTAATATGTGTCACAGATGCATATGAATATTTGTTCTGTAATATGCACTTCTATAATGCACTTCTATATTGTGGCGCATATAGCAAACAAGTTGAGAGAGATCAATAGAGACCCTCGCCGTATTAACCACAGCATCACAGTAAGCAAAGCTGACAGGCGACTCCATGGTTTGGAGAAGCGCTGCGGAGGACACGCTTGATTGTGTTTGGAGAAGAGCGGAGAGAGGGACTTCTAAAGGACAAGACTCACCGCTGTCATAAATTAAGGATGACAGATGTGCTGTAATCTCGGGAAATCCTGGAGACATGACTGTATGAGTACGTCTGCTGTGCCAAACCCATATAAGGAGCGCATGTGCCCTGTGGAAGACATGAGCAAAAGAAGACACGTTAATATGTGTCACAGATGCATATGAATATTTGTTCTGTAATATGCACTTCTATAATGCACTTCTATATTGTGGCGCATATAGCAAACAAGTTGAGAGAGATCAATAGAGACCCTCGCCGTATTAACCACAGCATCACAGTAAGCAAAGCTGACAGGCGACTCCATGGTTTGGAGAAGCGCTGCGGAGGACACGCTTGATTGTGTTTGGAGAAGAGCGGAGAGAGGGACTTCTAAAGGACAAGATTCACCGCTGTCATAAATTAAGGATGACAGATGTGCTGTAATCTTGGGAAGAACGTGGTGAACCGAAGATCTGTTTCATAGCCTGTTTGAGAAGGTACGACTCCCCAGAGCATTCTGACCTCTTTCTGATTCAGGGTTCAAGAGCGTCGTGCAGCTGGGCTGTGAAATGCAATATCAGATCTGGAGATCTGAAGACTTTGATTTCCAATTCTGATATTTAGGACTAACTAAAAAGACAGATAGACAGAAGTACATTTAGATTTTATTTATACAATTTTTTTATTTTAATATATAATAATAATAATAATAATAATTATTATTATTATTCATACTAATTATTTTTATTTAATAAATTTAATGTTTACTTGAATATATTTTAATTACATAATTTATATTGTTACTATTTATAATATTTTATATTCATACTATTTTTATTTTAAAAATACAATATTTGTATTTTAATGTATTATTATTGTATACTAAAAATTAAATAAATATTATATTAAAATGTTAAAAATAAAATAATTTTAATTTATTATTATTATTATTTTTAAAAATGAAATAAATTTTTACTTGAATATACAGTATTTTATTTACATTATTATTTATATTGTTATCATTAACAATATGTTATTTATATATTTATACTATTTTTATTTTAAAATTAATATAAATTCATTTTATTGAACTAAATGTAATTATATTTTTAATAATAATAACAATTGCATTGTTTTCTTATATGTATTTATATTAATTTTTATATACAGTATACTTTAACAGAAAAATAATCAAAATTTCAGTTAAGCTCGGAGAATGAAGGACAGTTAAAATGTTAAAAATAAAATAATTTTAATTTATTATTATTATTTTTAAAAATGAAATAAATTTTTACTTGAATATACAGTATTTTATTTACATTATTATTTATATTGTTATCATTAACAATATGTTATTTATATATTTATACTATTTTTATTTTAAAATTAATATAAATTCATTTTATTGAACTAAATGTAATTATATTTTTAATAATAATAACAATTGCATTGTTTTCTTATATGTATTTATATTAATTTTTATATACAGTATACTTTAACAGAAAAATAATCAAAATTTCAGTTAAGCTCGGAGAATGAAGGACAGACAGACAGATAGATAGGATATGACTCATAATCTCAGTGTCATTCAAATGTCTCAGCTCTAATTGGGCCTGAAATCAGTCTAGTCTTTCAGAGTATTTTTAGAGTTGTCTCTCTTCATGCTGGCAGACACTGAAGGCTGTCTAGCCGTTTGAGTGACATCTCATCTCTACGGTGGCCGAGAAGTGCAAAGCAAATCACAATTCTGAAAACAAAATATCAAACTACAAACGCAAATGCAAGTCGAAAAAACAAAATAATTCAGAAAGCACAACA